CAGCAGGACTGTGGATGTCTTGATAAGAGATTGTTAGAAAAGAAAGGGGGCCAGCAGATAGCATAGTGGTTTTGTTACTGGACACCCACGTGGCCAACTGTAGTTTGAGTCCTGGATGCAGGGAATTGAAAGTCATGCTGGGTGTGTATGCGTATATGCCCAAGATCCCAGGAGGAGAATGGAGAAGAAAGGATTGATGTATGATCACCCCACTAAGGGTGATCTCTCACTTTCCCTCTCACTGTCTCTGTCTCTGTGTCTACGACTCTTGTGAGCACATACACCCCATGGCAAAAACTTCTTTGTGTGTGTGTGTGTGTGTGAGGGCTTGTTTTTTGGGGGATTTTTGAGAAGTTTTTGCTATAGGGTGCATGCGCTTGCCAAAAAGACAGAGAAAGACAGAGAGATAGAAAGCGAGAAATCACCCCCCAAGGGGGATGGCCATGCTGCAATCCGTTCTCCTCCATTCTCCTCTTGGGACTTTGGGCTTACACGCACAGGCGCCCGGCGTGAGTTTAAGCCACTGGGTCCAGGACTTGAACCGCGGTCGACTACATAGGAGTCCAGCGACATAGCCATTATACCAACTGCTGGTCTCAGGCAAAAACTTCTTTAAAAAAAGTCTCTCTCTCTCCCTCCCTCCCTCCCTGGTCAAATTTAAATAAATAAATAAAGTTAAATAATAAAATAATTATTTAAAAAATAAAGAAAAGAAAAGGCTTAAAGGGTTGGGTATAGAATAAGTGGTTGAAGAACATTTAAGGAAGCAAAACTTTGCCCTGGTGCTAGGAGGCAGGGCAATTTTGTGATTGAAAAGCTCATGTCTTATCTGTAGTGAGGCAGATGCTTTAATTAACAAAGTGGTTATTTAAAATAGATTTTCGATTGCTCATAATTCTTTGTTATAAATAAAACTGCAGTGGGTAGTGTGATCACATGCATGTGCATGTTGTATTGGGTTGTCAGGAAAGTCATGATACATTTTTGCATAGAAAAACATGTCATGACTTTCCCAACCACCTAATAAATGTTGAGGCCCTTAAATAGCAGAACTAAGATATTTCAGATAGTGACAACGGCATGTATATAAAGGCACAAGGAAAGAAAGAGTATGTGATTTCCACAAAGCCGATGGTCTGGAACATCCAGCAGGTAGCGGACAGCTGTGAGGTGCACAGTGACTGAAGCTTCAGGAAGACGCAGGTCGTGAGCTCGTGGAGCACTGTGATTCCACCACAGTGACTGTCGGGGGCCCTTGGAGGGCTCGAGCTAGAGAGTGGCAGGCCTGGGTCTGCACGTAGGGTGTTCCACGGCTGCAGACCTAAGGACATCCAGAAAAAAGACTGGAAGCCAGGAACCCTATTTACATGTCGCCCCTGTAGCAGTCATGGTGCAAATGAAGGAAACTTGGAATTAAAGAAAACACAGCTATAAAACTTGAACTACAGGGAACCAGCAGTTAGCGCAATGGCTATGTCGCTGGATTCCCACGTAGTCGACCGCGGTTCGCGTACCGGACCCGGTGGCTTAAAACTCACGCCGGGCGCGTGTGCGTGCGTGCCCAAGATCCCGAGAGGAGAATGGAGGAGAAGGGATTGCGGCGTGACCATCCCCCCTGGGGGGTGATTTCTCGCTTTCTGTCTCTATGTCTCTCTCTGTCTGTCTGGCGAGCGCACGCGCCCTATAGCGAAAATCTCTCCAAAAAAAAAAAAAAAGAAAAAGAAAAAAAAAACTTGAACTACAAGGAGAGTAAAGAAAGAATGATTAGATCCTGGGTGCCACCCACTAAGATAAGGAATACTGGAGAAAGACCAGGTCTGCATGTGGAGAAACCAAACCCAGTTAGACACTCTGAGAGGGATCCATTAGACATCCAGAGAAGGTGTCCGGACGCAACCTGGTACTGGGACGAGTCAGAGCTGGAGGGGAGGCGCCAGCACCTGGCGTTGACAGTGGCTGTGTCGTACCTTCAGCCCCGGAGGTCTAGTCCTAACAGCCATCTTTCTCCTGCCCCAGCATCGCCCTCACTAACTTATCTGCCATTCAAAGACAGATCGGGATCTAAAGCTGTTTTACTGTTTGTCTTTTTTTTTAAACAAGAATCATTCCAGCAGAAGAGGCAGCTTACAAGCCTATACCTTTGAGGAACAGCCTACACTTCCTGTGGTGAGTGTTATCCTCTTCTCTCTATCATCAGTAAAAAAGTAAAACTCGGCACCTTTTTTGTTAGGAACAGAGGCTCAGTGTGTTGCAGTCCTCCTGCCCCCGTTTCCCAGCTGGGACCATAGGCACATGACTCCTTTTGGATAGGATATCACTGTGTGGCCCAGGCCAGCCTCACGCCCACAGTCTTCCTGCCTCAGGCTCCCCAGGCTGTTGGGATCACAAGTTCAGGCCACCCTGCCCAGCCTTTAGTTTTGACTAGGAATCGAACCCAGGCCTTCCATGTAGCCCCAGCCCACACAGCACAGTGTCTTAGCAGCACTCACCACTGCAGCTGGTTCAAACTCAACAACTTTTTCTTTTCTTTTTTTTGGAGAGTTTTTTGCTATAAGGTGCATACACTCGCCAGAAAGACAGAGAGACACAGAGACAGAAAGTGAGAAATCACCCCCAGGGGGGATAGCCACGCTGCAATCTCTTCTCCTCCATTCTCCTCTCAGGATCTTGGGCACGCACACACACGCACTCAGCGTGAGTTTAAGCCACCGGGTCTGGGACTCGAACCATGGTCGGCTACATGGGAGTTCAGTGATATAGCCATTATGCTAACTGCTCATCCCCCTTTTTGTTCGTTTATGATAAATATGATAAATAGCGTCTCCCAGCCCATGGACAAGATGGTGGTAACTGTTGATGCAGTACCTATGTGTGATTTCTGTAGTTAAATTACCTGGGTTCAAATTTCAGTTCCATTCCTTATAAGCTGTGAGAATTTTAGTTCCATTCCTTACAATCTGAGAAAATTCTTTTTTTTTTTTTGGAGAGGTTTTTGGAATTTTTTTCTATAGGGCGCATGCGCTTGCCAGGCAGAGAGAGACATAGAGAAATCACCCCCCAGGGGGATGGTCACGCCACAATCCCTTCTCCTCCATTCTCCTCCTGGGATCTTGGGCATGCACGCACACGCACCCAGCGTGAGTTTAAGCCACCGGGTCCAGGACTCGAACCGCGGTCGACTACGTGGGAGTCCAGTGACATAGCCTTTACGCTAACTGCTGGTCCCAGAAAATTCATTTTTTAAGCCTGAGTTTACTCATCAGTAAAATGGACCAATATTACCATAAGATTCATGTGAGGGTTAAATGACATGATCTAAGTTAAAAAAAAAAAAAAGAAAGAAAGAAAAGAAATTTAGTATGTGGTGGTTAGTGATGACATGTTTATTCATATCATTATATCATTATTGCCTTTCTATTTTCTTTACCCAAGAGAAATGCGATACACTTTATTTTGAACATTTCAAGATATCATTTAAAAGCTGACCCTGTGACTGAACAGTTAAGGGAGCTGAATCTCACATGGCCAACCATGGCTGGAATTCCAGCCTGGCAGCTTGAAAAACATGCTAGGCATGTATACATGCATGCCCAAAATCCAAAAGGGTGAAGAAATGGAGAAGAAGGGGTTATGGTGGGCCCATACTGCATTGTAGGATTCTGTGTCCCTCTTTTTTTCCCTTTCTGGTGAGCACATATACCCTCTGGCAAATTTTTAAAAATAATAATAAAAACTATGATTTACTAAATTAAAAATGTAAATCCATTTGCAAAAAATAATAAACCAAATAATCCAATTTTAAGATGAGCTGAACAGATCACTGTCTAAGAAAGACATGACAGATCAAGATGCATGACTTGTTGTCAAAGTAAGCAGCAAGGATGTAGGGGCTCAGAAGATGGGCTTTTGCATCAGAGAAAAATGGGTTAAATATCAACTTTGCCCTTTACTAAAAAAAAAAAAAAAGAAAAGAAAAAGAAAGAAAGATATGAATGGCCAAAAAGCACATGAAAAAGTGCTCAGCATCTCTTATCATTAGGGAAATGTAAATCAAAACCACAATGAGCTACCACTTAGTCTTGATCGGAGTACTATCATCAACAAAATAAAGAATGACAAGTGCTGGAGAGGCTGTGGTGGAAAAAGAACCCTCCTACACTGTTGATGGGAATAGTATGGCAACCACAGAAAACAATGTAGAGATTCCTTAAAAACCTACACACAGAACCACCAAGTGAACCAGTTGTCCCACTCCTCAGTATTTATCCAGAGGACAGGGAAACACCCAGTTGGAAAGACATTTGCACATCCATGTTTATTGCAACATTATTCACAATTGCTAAGACATGGCATCAGTCTAAATGCCCCAGAACTGATGACTGGATTTTAAAAATGTGGCACATATATACTATGGAATATTACTCAGCTATAAGGAACAATGAGACCCTGTCATTTGCTACAAAGTGGATGAATATAGAAGAGTTAATGCTAAATTAAACAAGCTAGGCTATGAAAGACAAACATTGTATATCCACTCTCCTTACATACCAAATGTCTGCACTCTAGGGCAGAAATTGGAAGCTTCGAAGATATAATAGTAGGGAAGGCAAGTGCAGACACTGTAGAGACTGCATAAGAGGGGGTGAGGAGAGTAAGGGATGGGAGGAGAGGT